TAAGTAGCCGTTGGAACTAAATTTAATGATATAATATTTGCTAATTAATCATTTATGATCATAAAATTCTAATTACTCATGTATATTACCTTAAAAAAATTTTCGAATTATTTGATGAATATTTTCGCGAATATAACAAAACAAGTAAAAAAAATGCTCCACATTATTTGATAAATTTTATGGTAAGTACAAGAATAAACAGTTATAAATTTCACGCCACATTACTGGGTAAACCATTTTTATGGGTGTTAAGTATAAATAATAACATTTATTACAACTTGAAAAATAATTCATAAGCAAATTTAATAATATCATATCACCACATATTATTGGCTATGGCATAGCTTAATTTGCCAATAATAATGGTAATGTGTATATAATATCATATTTAGTATACATATCTTGACTGTGGCAGAGCCTAACTTGTCAAGAATAATAGTAATATATATATATATATATATATATATATATATATTTTACTGTGGCAGAGCCTAACTTGTCAAAAATAATAGCAATATGTATATATATCATTGACTGTGGCAGAGCCTAACTTGTCAAGAATAATAGTAATATGTATATATATCCTACCTTTCTTGACCTGGTAGAGCGTTCGTGCTGATAACGTGTTATGAAATACGGGGAATATAAAGAACACAATGTATAAAAATTGGATATCAATTGTACTGAAATATCTTTCTTTCTTCACTACTTTTTCATACATAAATTGTAAGAAACACTTGCCTTTTGTAGGCACATTTTGGGCACACAATTCAATGCAACACACACACTAATAATATAATAATTACAATGATAATGTTTAATAGTGGTAAGATTCTACTTATGTATAATATTATTTAGTTTGTTTTTTAATTATAGTTAATTTTGAAAAAAAATATGGTATGGTTAGCTATTAGTGGATATATTAAAATAATATTTAAATAAAATAATTAAAGTTAGTTTGATGTAAAATATGAGAAAAATGATTGCTAGTTAAAATTATGAGAGTGAATAATAGAATTAAAATTGATGTGATGTGTAAGAATAATTGATTGGTATTATTTAATTATATTGATAATATGAAAGATAGTGAGTTTGGGTTAAAATGGTGTTAAATTTACGTTTTGATTATTTTTTTATAAACCATAAACAATCGCCAAGTTGCTACTCACATGAGATGAGAAAAGGGTGAAATGAGTCCAACGCACCTCATTGCTACGTGAGAATAATTGTTTAAAATTAGTTGATCTACCCTTAAAATGTGATAGACTAACTATTGATCAAATTGTCCAAACAATTCTATGCATATATATTCGATGCATATATGTCTCATATTTTGTCGCATAATTTTTGTACTTCCTAATCAACTTTGTCTATTTGTCGTATATTTTATCTTAGAGATCGCTCAGTTATCTTTGTCTTTTGTGTGATCGTATAATTATTTTGTACTTGTTTAATTAACTTGTTTGTCTCATAGTTACTCGCATAATAAAATCGTACTTACTCAATTTTCTCCGTCTGTCTGTAGCATAGTTAATTGCAAATAAAATTGCACTCGTTCAATTTTCTTGTCTTGTTGTCGCATGTTTTGTCGCATAATATGTTTCGCACTTATTCAGTTGACTTCCATCTGTTTTTTGTATAGTTAATCGCATAATAAGATCACACTTCATCGAATAACTTCGCATGTATGTCGCATAATTTGTTTCTCACTTACTCATTAACTTCATATGTATGTCGCATATTTTATCTCATAATGAGATCGCACTTGCTCGAATAACTTCGCATGCCTGTCGCATAGTTTATCGTATAATTTATTTGGCACTTTCTCAATTAACTTCGACTGTTAACTTCATCTGTTTGTCATATAATTTCTCGCATAATTTGTTTCGAACTTGCTCTATTAACTTCGCATGTATGTCACATACTTTATCGCATAATTTGATTTGCACTTGCTCAATTAACTTCGTCAGTATATCGCTTACTCTATCGCATAATTATTATGTACTTTATCAGTTAACTTCGTATGTTTGTCGCATAGTTTATCACATAATTATTTAACATTTTATTACTATCTTTGTTTGTTTGTTGCATAATTTGTTTCATACTTTATCTATTCACTTCATTTGTTTGTCTTATAGTATATCACATAAATGTTTCACACTTATGATTATTGTCGCATAATTTATTTTGCAATCAATTATATTCGTTTGTTTGTCATATATTAGTATTTCGCATTTTATCAATTATTTCGTCTTTCCATCGCAAATTTGTTTCGCGGTTAGTGGGTAAAAAATTTAACTTATTAATTAGCGGTGTGTAAAACTTAATCTATATTCAAAGCGGGGTGCAAATAACTATTTCCTTGAAATAAATTATGTACTCATTTTATACATATAACCTCAGAAAAATCGTTATAACTATTATTTTATATTTGTTAAGCAAATATTCATAACTCCATTTGAGTAATCTTGCAATAATCCTTATTACTATAATATATATATATATATGTATATATATATATATATATATATATATGTTTTGTTTATGCTTATAAAGAAAGATTATTTTCAGTAAAATATATATTGTTAAAAAGAAAAGAGGGAGAAAGATAAAAATAAAAAAATCACATAATTTCCTTTTTTAGTAACTAAAATTGTTTAGTTATAAATTACACATACTATTTCAAGTAATGTCAAACCTTTATATATATATATATATATATATATATACACTAATACACAGCTTGTGCGATGCACGGGATAATAATGATAAATCTTGTAAATTAAAATAGTAAAAGAATATTGATTAGCATAAAAATAGTTTTAAATATTAATAGTAACTTTTGTCTTTTATTTTATTTTTATGATGTATAACAAATTAATATAAAATTTATATGTGTATTTGACCTATTATAAAATAGCTGTAATTCTAGTGTTTGTGTTTAAAGTTCAAAAATATCAAAATTAAACATATTCAAACATTATTAATAAATAATACCCAAAAAGGTACTTCTCTCTCTTCCCTTGGCCACACATTATTACAACATATTCTACTAATGGTAAAGTTGAATTATTCCAAATATTATAAAACGACACTTTATTAAAAAGAATGTAGTGTATAATATTTTAAAATTATAAAATATATTGATTTTAATTATGTAAAGAAAAAATAGTAAAAGGAAATATGAAACAAATATCAAGAAGAACATTTAAAATATCCTTATTTAGTAACCAATATTCTATTGGTGTAAAACCTAATTATATTTAATAAATACCAAACCAGTTTATATACATATAAATACATTTTTCATTATGAACTGAATGTGAAATCATAATAATAAATAAATATCAACTAAGTATGAATTGCTCATGAACTGAATATACACTATGTATGAAGTAAATATTCGTTTTGTATGAATTAAATGTGCATTCAAATATGCAATTGAGAGCAATATCCTGGAGCCTTACTGCAGCTAATGTCCTTATGTTCCTAACTAAGTATGCATTATGTATGAACTAAAAATGCATTTTGTATGTAAATATGCATAATAATTGAATTAAATATGCATGAACATACCCCTATATCTGCACGCTTTTCACCGATTTTCCCCTAATAAAAATTATGTTCATTTGCAGGACACCGTGAAATCTCTTCCTTCATTTACTCTTAATATTTTTTTTATTTATCAATTCGTATTTCTCTCTCATTCTCTCCACACCCAAGAAAAACAAAAACAAAAGAAAAAAACAAACGAGGGACGACGCCGTTTAGGTATGGCGCCCCATTTGTTGAGTTGTTTCGGAAGGCGTTCCTTCGATGCTGACAGCCACAGTAAAGCGAGATCTGTTGACGAAGGAGAAACGGAGGGTGGGTTGCTATTGGTGGAGAGTTTTGTTAGCGTATGTACTTGAAAAAAATGGGTCAAGGGGGTAGAGTACGCAATGTGTGCAAGAGTTTGAGTCTTGGGGAGGGCAAAAAATCACAGCGAGTCCAAAAATAGGTTTTTACCCTAGTGCAAGAGCACTGTGAAAGTTCATGAGTCCCCGGTGCATGGTCATGGCCCACCGGGGTCCGACCCCCCAAGCGGGGAAGGCTGGCGGTTACGACCGTCCACAAGATTAAATTAAAGTTAAAGTATTTTTTTGAAAGAAAGATAAATTGAGTTTTCGAAAGTTAAAGCAGTGTTTTTCCCTTTATAGCACGAACAATTTACTCTGATTTTAGTAAGTTTAGGTAGTGTGTTACTGTAACGCCCCACTTTGATTTTAAAGAAAATTGAGACTTTCCAAAATCAAGATATAATTTTCGAAGTTCATTTTTCGAAATCAACATTTTCATGGGCATTATCTAACATTTCAAAACATAGTTGAAGTCATGTCTGAACTCACGGAGATTCATTACCCAGTTTTTCACATGAATTTCATTATCCCAAAACAAACAGCTTTAACATGATATTCAACGAAGCACATCAACATGAATAACCAATTCAACATGTTCCATAAAGAAACGAACCAACTCATCAGGTTAAAAAACCAATCCACAAGTTTAACATTTTCAAAACACCATAGTTTGAAAGCAAAACGTATGTTCATAAAACCAATATATCAAGTCAAGAACTAGTGGAAGCAAATAAACATAAATGAGGACCGACCACTCATCCCCTCGTCGTCATGCCTGCCACCTGCTCAACCTGAAAGGGG